TGCAGCGAGTCCTATGCAAATGAGGCTAAGCTGGAGTATCGCTGAGTCTCATTTGCATACCTAATGAGCCACCATTTTTTTCAGACAAGGCTCTTGCGCAAGGAGCAGCACCTACACGGCCCCTTCTTGCACAAGAAAAACCCTCTTGCGCAATGCTGTTCTTCCTGAAAAGTAACAGGTGTTACAGCATTACGCAAGAGGGTTGTTCTTGCACAAGAAGGGGCAGTGTAGACACTCCGGCTCTGTCTAGACTAGCAAGTTCTTCCGCAAAATCATCTGCTTGTCTGGAAAAACTTGCCAGCTGTCTACACTGGCCGCTTGAATTTTCGCAAAAGCACCGACTTCTTACTGTAAGAAATCAGTGCTTCTTGCGGAAATACTCTGCTGCTCCCGTTCAGGCAAAAGTCCCCTTCGCGCAAAAGGGCCAGTGTAGACAGCTCAGATTTGTTTTCCGAAAAAAAAAAGCCCCAATCGCGAAAATGGCGATCGGGGCTTTTTTGCGGAAAAGCACATCTAGATTGGCACGGACGCTTTTCCGCAAAAAGTGCTTTTGTGGAAAAGCGTCCTGCCAATCTAGATGCTCTTTTCCGAAAATGCTTTTAACGGAAAACTTTTCCGCTAAAAGCATTTGCGGAAAATCATGCCAGTCTAGACGTAGCCCACGTGTTTAAAGTTACACTCTAATGCAGCTACCTTTCAGAGATTTCTTCTCTGCCTGCTAAGTCACCTGGAAATTGCAAACTGTCATGTCTTTCCTAGGATTTCACATCAAATAAACTAACTCAAGAGCATGCTTTTTCCCCCCAGAGAAGTTATAGCCTGGAGGAGATTCCTGATTAGTCTTACATTTGAGTGATCTATATGAGATTTATTAAGAATTGAGCAAGATGTAGCACCTGCAAAAGAAGTAGTTTGTGTAAGGTGCCAAAGCTGCAGTTCTTCCCACACCCATCAAGACAGGTTTGCCAAGGGCTCAGTTAGATTGACTAATATGTTATTTGGAAATGTAAGAGATTACCTTCCTTTCACTGTTAGCTTTTTATTTCAAGTCTTTTATGCTGTTCTTTTTCTTACCTGACTTCACACATGGTACATTTCTGGTTTCTTTGGTGCACTTTATTTACTATCTAACCAGCTGTCTCCGCACCTTATCCCTACTCCTCTGAGTAGTTCCCCCTGTCTCTTATGCCATGTCCATTCTACATTCATGATAATTATCTGTTTATTATATAAATATAAAGTACAGGGCAGTTTTCATTCCTCTCTTTTTTTAGTCTGTGTTTCTAGTTTAATCAGTTCCTTTGCAGATAAATCCATTATAGTATTGTTTGCATCTACTGTATTTGAATAGTGTCCCAAACATTCTCCATTTCAGCTGTTCTTTGTTCACCTTTTCTCAGTTTTGCATTCTAAGGTTGCAGCTGAAGGTATTAACATGAAACCCACTCAATGTGCTTCAGATAGAAAGCTTGTATGATTCTACTGAGTCATTCATTTTGATTTATAGGTAATAGTTTAAAACTGAATTGTCAGAACACTTGGAGCTAAGGGTAGCTTATCAAATAAGAGAAATCTAATAAAGAGCATTGTAAACTTTTAAAAATTGTTCTTTTTTAGCAAACTCACTAAGATGAATTTTGCATATTTTAATACAAATTGTTCTCAATTACAAAAAAAGGTTGGTTGCTCATTGCTCGTTAAGTATCAGAATAAAATGGTAAGTGGTATTGGAATTGTTCAGGCTCCACTATCTTGTCTTGGTTATAGGTTCAGGTCTGGTCAAGAGAGGTTTGAGGCTTATTTTCCACAATTTCAAAGTATTCTGACGATCCAGTTTTCTATCAAATATATATTTACCTTGAATATTCAAATCACGTGCAAGGGTTGACTTATTTTTTTTATTTCCTCTTGTTTTCCAGTATGAAAACCCATGGACAATCCCAAATATACTTTCTATGGCAAGAATTGGTTTGGCTCCAGTTTTGGGTTATTTGATTGTTGAAGAAGATTTCAACATTGCTTTGGGTGTTTTTGCTCTGGCTGGGATAACAGATTTGGTATGCTGCATAACAGTTCTGAAATGTATTTTAGTTTTTAATTTAAAATCGCACTGCATTATGTATAAAGTTTCCTAATTCTCTTAAGATTTAAGTGAGTGTTTTGAAATGAGCGAGAAATGCTTGGGAAAGCCATGATGACAAGACAGGGCCAGATTCTGCCACTCATTAAGGCTGTTTTGAGATGCTCTGTCAGTGTAAAGCAGCCTTAAAGATTCCCTATACAAATAGCTGAGCATCTCCCATTGAGCTGTGTATGAACTGTATTTAAACATGAAATTGGCTTGTTTGCAAATTTCTGCATCCAGAAGTAGTAGTCATGTATGTAGATTAGATATGTTTCTGAAAATCAGGTGCACTATTAATTTTCTGGACTTAGGATATGCTCGCAAGCTTCTAGAATCTGAGTAGTAAGATGGAAAGTGTGCAATATAAATAATGTATCTATGAACAAAGTTGACTGATAATACTTTATTATTTTAATTGACTATACAGGCAGTCCCCGGGTTACATGGATCCGACTTACATCAGATCCCTACTTACAAACGGGGTGAGGCAACCCCGCACTAGCTGCTTCCCCCCAGCAGACAAGGGAGACGCGAAGCTAGCGCTCCCCCCAGCAGACCAGGGAGACGCAGAGCGGCTTTTCTCAGCAGACACCTCAGCTTGAGAATAAAGGACTGAGGGAAGTGAGGTGTGGGAGAATAAAACTGAGCTCTGGAGAAATGTTTGGTTAGAGTTTCCCTTACAATATGTTCCAGTTCCGACTTACATACAGATTCAACTTAAGAACAAACCTACAGTCCCTATCTTGTACGTAACCCGGGGACTGCCTGTATTATATTCATGTTGCTTATCAAATATCCTGGTTAAGTTAGTAGATGCTGATTCTTTTTTTTTCTAGCTATAAAAAATTCACATATTAAACTTATATTTATAGTTGGATGGGTTTATTGCACGGAACTGGGCCAGTCAGAAATCTGTTTTGGGAAGTGCCCTTGATCCGCTAGCTGATAAAATTCTTATCAGTGTCCTGTATGTCAGCCTGACTTGTGCAAATCTTATTCCAGGTAAGATCTTGTTAAATTCATGGATATATATTTTTTCACAAGATGGTACTAAATAGTATGAAGAAGTGAACTTACTGCATTAAGACACTTCTCATGTTGTCAAGGAGGAAAACTAATTTTAGCTTTCAACAGTTTAGTTAATTGAGTACTGCTGTTGACTGTTTAAAAGAAAGGTAAATAACTTTATTTAAATATATCATAATATTCTGACTTTTAATTCTGTTTTGCTGTTGAGCACCTGAACTACTTTTGCCACTAGATTCAGCTTCAGTAGTAGTTTGCTCTGTTTTTAACATGTTTTATTGCACTTTCCACTCAGATCTCACATTTAAAAAGAAAGCATACCCAATACACAGCTATATTAAACCACTGTTCTTAGATGCATCAATCTCTGCACTAGGCTCCAGTTTGCCAATCTAAAATGGGGTGATTGGGGCCACCCCTGCCAGTTTGTTCAAGTCTGTCTTGGCTGCTCTGGAGGTCATGTTTACTGGCAGTCCTGCTTCTGGCAGAAGGGTGTTTCTTTCTGTCCACTGACAACAGTGGAACCAGCTCATCTCTGCCATCTGAATGTGCAGGAAAGGTGCTGTTTACACAGGAAGTGCTTCATGATAAGTTAATACTCTTCTAATACGGCTAGATGTTGCCACTGAATGCTGAATCTTAGATTTTGCCCTTTACCTTTTCTCCCCAAAATTGCATTGCTTTTTATTTTGATGCAGAAGAAAAATGGTTTATTTTCTGTGTGTTAATGGGATTTGCACACATAGACATGTAGTAGTGGGTGTATCATGGTGGACTGTGTCTATACAGCTAGATCAGGGACAAGATGTGGCCCACCAAGCTTTCTAATCTGGCCTGCTTGCCTCTGTGGCATGAAGCAGAGCCACTCAAAGCAGTTAGCTCAGGGGTGGGCAGTAATTTTGATGGGGAGCCACTCCAAGAATTTGGAAAGTGGTCAAGGGCCATACTCTTTCATATTAATGAAGGAAGTGGGGGGCTGGGATTGAGGTTGGGTGCAGAAGGGAGCTTGAGGTCAGGGTTTGTGGTGCAAGAAGGAGAGTGGGGTCAGGGAGGGAGTTTGGGTGAAGGAGGCACTTGTGACCTAGAGCAGGAGACTGAGGTGCAGGGGTTTGGTTTGTGACCTGTGGGAGGGGACTGGGGTGCAAGCATTTGGGTTGTGACCTAGGGCAGGAGGGGTTTGTTACCTGAGCCAGGGGATTGGGGTGCAGGGGTTTGGGTTGTGACCTAGAGTAGGAAGGGATTGTAACCAGGGGCAGAGGATGGGGTGCAGGATCTGGGTGGGGCGGCATGGCTGCAGGAAGGGGGCAGGGGGCTTGGGTTATATGAGGTAGGGTGGCAGCCATGGAGAGGCAGAGGGTTGGAGGGATGGTGGGGCTTGGGTACCAAAGGCAGGTTCTGTCCGGGATTCTTAGCTGGGTGACTCCCAGCCAGCACACTAGCAGGTTTCTCAGGCAGGCTCCCTGTCTGCTCTGCTCTCACATTGGTTACAGGAGCCATGTGTGTCTGAAACTGACCAATGGGATTGTGCTGGGGGTGTGGGCAGCATGCAAAGCTTCTCCCACTCCACCGCCGGCTCACAGCCATTCAAAGACAAACAGCCCTGCAGTCACTTTTCTGAGTGGTGGAAGAGGAAGGCAGGACTAGGCAAGGAGCCATTGCGTCCATGGGCCGGATCCAGTGGCTTGGTGGGCCAAATCCGGCCTATGGGCCATATTTTGCCCAGCCCTGAGTTAGCTGTTCCCTATGACTCTGTGCTGTTGGAGGAACCTGCTGGAGAGTACTGTCAGCTAGGAGCTATTTATATAAGCATCTCACGGTCCAAGACTGTGTCTGGTACCCCACCCCCTCCCGCACCGAACTCTGTCCTGCACCCATACCCCTTCTTGGAGTCTTTAATTCCTTGCCCCAGGTCATCACCCAAATCCTTTGCATCCTTTTCTTCTCTTCCTCTCCCTCCCTCCAGATCAGAACCCCCTCCCAGATCCTGCACCTGCTCCTAAATCTCTCCTTCAGGCTAGAATCCTCTCCTGCATCCATACCCCCTCCCAGACACTGCACCCCAATCCTCTGCCCCAGGTCACAACCCCCTTCTTCACCCAAACTTTTTCTCAGGCCCCAAACCCTCTTCTGCATCCCAGTCCTCTATTCTGAGCTCCCTTCTGCACCTAACCACCGTCCCAGTCCCTGCACCTCCACCATAGAAAAGTGCTGCCCTTGACCACTTACCAAAATATTGAAGTGGACCCCCCATGAAAAATTATCGCCCAGCCCTGAGTTAGATCAAGGATTCCTAAACTTCATTGTACATCAGCCCCCTTCTAACACCAAAATTATTATTATAACCCCAGGAGTGGAGACTGAAGCCTGAGCATACCCAAGCTCTGCCATCTGAGCTCCACCACCCCGAGCAGGGAGCCAAAGATGAAGCCCATCAGCTTTAGCCCTAGGCAGGAAGTCTGTAACCTGAGTTTCATCACCTAGGGCAGAAGCCCTCAGGCTTTGGCCTTTGGTGATGAGGCTTGGGCTTGTGTCCTGGGCCCCAGCAAGCGTATGCCAGCCCTGGCAACCCATTGAAATGAGGTCACCATCCACTTTGGAGTCATGACACTGTTTAAGAACCACTGAGCTCTAGATAACTTTTTAAACCAATTTTTTCAAATCCAGACAGTTTCTTCTTTAACTACATTTTGTTGATTTTGTTTTTCAGTTCCACTGACTACTTTGATCATTTTAAGGGACATAGTGCTAATTGCTGCTGTTTTTTATGTGCGATACAAAACACTATCCCCACCAGTAAGTGTGTGGTTTTAAAACAAAATTGTGGACTAGGCTTTCTGTTATGGTATGTAATAGGGATGTTAAAATGCATTTCCTTAAGGAAATGTGCAACGGCTGAAAAATTTAGTGGTTACATGAGAGCTGTAGTTGGCTACCCGGGAGTTGGTGCTCTGACTCCCACCTGCCCCCCTCTGCCCTCCTGTGCTTCTGCCTCTAATACAGCCTGCATGTAACTGGGAAGGTTAACCAACGAACCCAGGCTCATCAGTTAACCATGTACATGGTTACACTTTCACATCCCTAGTGTGTACATAGTGAGGGTAGGAAGCAGTAATTACTAGTAAACAGATTGGCCAAAGCTTTGTTATGCAGTTTAATATTAGTCCAAAAGGTAAAAGGAAATAGCAAAGATTTACCTGGCAAGAAAACAATCATGTTACGTGAGACTATGAAATTTGAGAGCATAAATTAATGAAATCCATCAGTTATATCAGGACATAGAAAGTGAGGTTTTACCACTTCATTCATTACTAAGTAACATTTTTACTGTCTGCGTAATTTGTTTTTTCATATGCCAGTTTGTCAAGGAGTAGATTATTGTAACTGTTTCTCCAGTCCTGTAAGTGATTTTCTGTAATGTGGTGTGGGTGTGGGTGGGTTTTTTTGTTTTTTTTGTGTGGAATGTATATGAAACACACATTTAAAATAAATCGATTTTTATCTTTTTTTCCACAGAGAACACTTAGTAGATATTTCAACCCCTGTTATGCTACTGCACAGCTAAAACCAACTTTCATCAGCAAGGTAAAGGGGAGTGTTTATTATAAATTACTGTTTCTTCAGCATACAGGAGTCTTTACTATTCCGAAGCACTCTTAATTTGCTTACTACTGATAAATTCTTATATAGGGCTTTATTTCACAAAATCCTGAGTACTTTGAGTGTGATCCAGAAAAGCATATGCTCATGTAGTCCACTGGAAAATCAAATGTGCAGCAAGTATATCTCAAAACTTATATTTTGCCTCATTTTCCATATATTGGCTAAGATTGTCAATAACCTCTTAAGTAATATGTAAGATGAAAGTGTGCTAAAGTTCTATTTCAGTACAGCTACAACTGCTCTTTGATTTTTCCAGATGAACACAGTAGTTCAGCTAATCTTGGTGGCAGCTTCTTTAGCAGCTCCTGTTTTCAATTATGTGGATAGCATATATCTACAGACTTTATGGTAAGTTAATTTTTTATTTGTGATATCTATAATGTACTTGTAAAGAAACTAACAATTCCAATTGAATGAAAAAGGTGTCCCCCAGTAAGCCTAAATTAGAGTTGTATGGTTGAATTCTTCTTTTTGGCTGAAACAGTATGTATCTATCTATATATCTAATCAGTATTTAATTTATGAGAGAATTAACTATATGCATGAGAGAACCAGTCAAAACCCAAGGATGAAAGTTAAGAAACTAAAATCTTTCAGAAAAAACCAACAAATGGTCTGGTAGCACTCTATAGACTAACAAAACACGTAGATGGTATCGTGAGCTTTCACAGGCACAGCCCACTTCTTCAGATGACCGGAGTTATGAGTAGGGGATATGAAAACTGGAAAACCAGCATGGAGGATCACAGCACATCCCTTTACTAAATTATATACATAAATAAAATGCGGAAAGGTCAGAAAAAGCTGATATCGTTAAATGGAAAGTTACAACATTTATTTCAGTTAAAAGGGTTTTCATTGCAAAAATAAAGTGCCAATAGTAATGGATAAACTATGGCTAGTAAAATAAGTAGAAATTAACCAATCTGAAGAACAAATAACTTTAAAAGAAAAGATCATTAAGTGTCTCTGAAGTAAGATGCTTGAGGAAGTCAATGATGTCTAATAGGTTACCAAGAATTCCCTAAGGAAAAAGAACACAGTTGTTTCTTTCCATCAGTCTTACCTTGAACTGTGACAACAGCTATGCAAGATAACTGCACCTGTATTTCCCCTGCATGGGCCCTAGAGCACCCCCTCTAGGCTTCTAGTTCGTTAGCCATCAACTCTCTTAGTCAGAGATGCTCATGTATTTTCAGGATGCGAAGTTCCCTATCCATATTGTGATGATATCAGCAAGCCAGATTGCCTAAACACACCAGTGTCTGTGCTTGTTTTCTCTCTGAAGGTTTACGAACAGTGTAATTGCCAGCAGTTACAAGTTACCACTCAGCTCTTTAGAAGTAAACACATTCATTCTTAAAGCATTAGAGAGAAAACATGAATAACAATAATAGTTCTTATACAAATGCTAAAGCTTACCACCACAAGTCACTTAATCTTATAGGACCTCAGTAGGTGGGATTGGGACTCTCCTTGACAGTTTGCTGGATCAGAAAGAAGGCCCTGAATCTAAACTCAGGCTGGTCACTGCAGAGTTCTTTGTTTATCATATGGGCTATATCTACACTGGGAAGGTTTGGCAACAAAAGTGCTGCGGACATGCAGAAGTTGCCAAAAATGAAAACTGGTCAGACCAGTTTTTCTGCCTCCCATTGTTAATGTTTCATGGCCACATTGCTAGCACTCTGTGGACAGATAAGAGCAAAGCAATATGGATAAGCATCCCACAATTCAGTGTTGTGGGAAGGCAGAACTGATCCCTGTGCTTCTTGGGAATCCTTCCTAGTTCTATGGGCTCTCCGTGTTGAGAAATGTCAAAGAAGCATAGCAATCTCTGCAGCCATCCCCCTGGAGTAGCAATCTGCCTGCTGCTGTGTTTCTAATGCAGAACAGAAGCATTCCAATGATTTGTTCTTGGTTCCCCAAATGGAGCAGTTCACTCAGCTGTCTCAGATACTTCCTGGAGCTTTGAAAGGGGAGGAGCTCATGCCTGCAGGACCCAAAGATCACAAAACACTGAGCACAACTATCAAAGCAGGCATTGTGAGATAGTGGCGGAAGCCAGTTGTCTCAGCAAAACAAATAGCAGAGTCCACACTGGCTCTTTGTCAACAGTAAAGGGAGGGGAAAAGACAAGAAGTCCTTTGCAGGACTGGAAGTCTTTTGTCACCAAAACTGGGTGTGTTTCCCGAAAAAAGTTGCATTGTAGTGTGTACGTTCTCGCTATTTTGTTATCAAAAGGTAGTTTTTGGTGACAAAATATGCCAGTGTAGACAAGACCTTGTTCAAACTAGAATTGCCAGAGACCTATAATACATGAACTTCTCTAGGTGGCCAAACTTCCCCAGAATTGTTGAAATCTGAATAAATTTACTCAGTCACTCCTGGGGGAGGTGTGGTTTTCCTTCAGTTTGAATCTGCATGCAGTCCCTGACACACGATACATAAACTTGATATAGTAAGATCTCCCAAAGACATTGCAGGAAATTGCCAATGTGTCCCAGGTATTTGCAAGTAACAAAAGTGAAACACTGTCTGTTTAGGATGTTCAGAAAAAATCAATAATTTAAATTGTGACAAGTGATCAGTTTAGATGTTGGTTGTCCAAAAATTCTAAAATAATGTAATATGTTGAAAAATATACTTACAAAAAGCTGATATTCTATGAAAACAAAGCAGGATAGCTTCTATGAAGGGCATTTTTGCTCTAACATACTAGGATTCTTTAAAAGTTTACAGAATAATTAATAAAGAAGAAATGCATAAACAATGAGAAGTCCTGTGGCACCTTATAGACTAACAGATTTATTAGAGCATAAGCTTTCATGGGCAAAGACCCACTTCGTCAGATGCTCAGATCTCCCTGTCCCCCAGAGAGGGGCTACTGCCACCCTGCGTTGCTGCTTCTGATATAGAGGCAGCAGCGCAGGACAGGCAGCCGGTGTGCGAGGGGAGCTCCCACCTGGCACCCCATGCTGCTGCCCTCTGGTACAGAGGCAGGAGTGCGGAGTGGCAGGGGGCTTTTTGGGAGCGGGGCTGGAGCACACTGGCTGCTGGCCCCACCCCTGGGGACTACAGAATAGTCACATAATTGATAAGGATTCATGAAATTAATTGACTTTTCAAATAACCAATATTTAACATCCCTATTTGCTTGTGTAGACATCATCAGAGTGCAACTGATTGAAACAGTAGCATTATGTATATTTTAAGATGTAATAAGTGAGCATTATCATCTTGATTTTAGTTTTTGAGGGTTTTTGGTAGCAGTTTGCTGATTTTTAAATATATGCATGACAAAATTTTGGAAGCAGCGTTCCCTCTAATTTTCCCCACTCATTTGTGGAATAAATCTTTTATGTGCACCAATATGAAGGTGATGTGTGACAAATCACTTCCATATATTATTGCACATACCAAAATTAATGAGGTGGGGCTGAGTGGTTTGAAGTGTCGGAGTGGGTTCAGGATTAGGACAGAGGATTGGGATATGGAGGGGGTCAAGGCTTTGACTGGTGATGTGGGCTCTGTGGATGAGGAGCTTGGGGTGCAGTCAGGCAGCGTGCATGGAGCTCTAGGGTGGGTAGGACCCGTTTTCCCTACCGGTAGCACAGAACTCCAGGTCCGAGGAAGAGGCCCACAGCAGCCCTGCAAATGCCAGGATGCCTCTCCTCCTTAGTCCCTGGCCACAACCTAACTCTGTTCCCTGCTGTTTGGCTCTCTATAGCTTGCCATGCAGCTTAGAATGAACTTGGTTTGGAATAGTCCATTTGATCTGGGAATAGCATTTTCAGTATCAATCAGTGCTCACGTTGGTGAACACTGTACTGTGTGTGTTGCAGATATGCCGAGACACATTCTGTCCTCCCTTTTCTGTCACAAGTATAACTAGAATACAAATTCGGCCCAGTAGGTGATTAATTCTGTGGTGAAGCAGACTACTGAACAGTGAAGCTTGCTTATGTGATATGCCTTGCTTTTCAGTGAGATTCAGTTTTGAAATGTGAGGTTTGTTTACAAAGTCATCAAAATGAGAACGGTAGGATGAGAATTTCCTTAATCACATTTTCTCCAAACCTTTGACCTCAGTCTGTGTGGCTATCATAGGTTGTTGTCCCACCATATCTAGTTTCAGATTGTACCAAAGAATAGGGAACCATTTAAAATACAGCTTGGGGTATTTTTTAAATATTTAGATGCAAAGAAACTAATTTATATTAACCATTTTCCCTTAAAGGTGCATTACTGCTTTCACAACAGCATCGTCTGCATACAGTTATTATCATTATGGTCGGAAAACAGTCCAGGTAATAAACAACAAATGAAATGTTACAGAAAGAATCATTTCATCACATCACTGTTTTCTATACCGCAAAGGATGATATAAATGGCCTAGGAATAAGAACTCAGTATTTTTCCTTACGACAGTTGTTTCAGTTCAAACCATGTCATGACAACTGGACTGATATATGAAGTAAAAATGAAGTCTGATCATGTACTGTAAATGTATTGAATTTTCAATGTATTTTTGAAAGTTATAAATAAAAATATAATTGTTTTAAAAAAAATCACCTTAATGTTCTTAAAGGTACTTACAAGACTCAAAATGCATGACAACCACTGGTGACTTGTATCTCTTTTTAAATTGCTTTTCAGAACATAAAGTTTGCACTAGCGCTGTTGATTAATTCCAGTTCACTCACGCGATTAATGCAAAAAAAATTGTGATTTAAAAAATGAATCCTGAGTGTTCAGTTTTAATCACATTGTTAAACAATAACATCCTAAATGAAATTTGTTAAATATTTGTGGATGTTTTTCTACATTTTCAAGTATTTTGACTTCAGTTACAACACAGAATACGAAGTGTATGGTGCTTGCTTTATATTTTTATTATAAATATCTGCACTGTAAACAGTTTTTCAATTCACTCTAGTGCAAGCTCTGTATTGTCAAAGTGCAGTTTACAAATGTTTTTTTGTTGTGTAACTGCACTCAAAACAGTGTAAAACTTTAGAACCTACAGGTCTACTCAATTCTCCTTCTTGTTTGTCTTAGTGTTTGGCTGAAAAAATTCGTTCACATTTACAGGAGATAATGCTGCCCCTTCCTATTTACAATGTCACCTGAAAGTAAGAATGGGCATTTGCATGGCACTTTTGTAGCTGGCATTGGGGCAGGGCAGCACAGCTTCACAGGTGATTAATCAGCCCCACCCAGTCAGAGGCTCAGGGCTCCATGCATCTTAGAGGGAATACTGATTGCAAGCTATTTATATGCCACATATGCTAAACGTTTGTATGCACCTTATCCTTTGACCACCAATCCAGAGGGTATACTTCCCTGCTGATGATGCTTGTTTGGAAAAAAATGTGTTAAGTTCATGACTTGAACTCCTTGGGGGAGAATTGTTATCTCCTGTTCTGTTTTACCCATGCTGTGCCATATATTTCATGTGACAGCAGTCTTAGATGCTGATCCAATATGTATTTTAAGGTGACTTTCACTGCAGATTTGACAAAATGCAAAGAAAGGTACCAATATGAGCTTTCTAAAGTTAGCTATAGTACTCAACCCAAGGTTTAAGAGTCTGAACTTTTGAGAGGGATGTAGTATGGAGCATAATTTTTGATGTCTTAAAAGAGCAACTCCAATATCGAAACTACAGAATCTGAACCACCAAGAAAAAGAAAATCAGTCTTCTGCTAGTGACATCTGACTAGACAATAAAAATGAACACGCATTGGTCCATGCTATTTTGGATCATTATTGAACCTGCTATCACTATAGACGCATCCTCTGAAATGGTGGTTGAAGCATGAAGGGACACTTTTTTTTTTACTGTATATGGCATGTACGTCTCTTGTGATGCAGGCTGTGACAGTACTATTTGAATATCTGTTCTTGTTTTCAGGTGACAGGTAAACGAGAAGTAGGCAGGATTATGTCCTGCAAATGTAAATACACTTGTTTATACGAGTGATTGGCTGAACAAAAAGTAGGGCAGAGTGGCTTTGTAACATTGTGCACTTTGTATTCTGTGCTATAACTGAATCAATATTTGAAAATGTGGAAAACATCCAAAAGTATTTAAATGATGGTATTCTGGTAACAGTGCAATTAATTGTGATTTTTTTAAATAGCTTGACAGCCCTAGTATGCATGCTTCATGCAGAAAGTGTGCTGATGAAGCTCCTTCTCAGATTTAGTACACATGGAGTTATAAAGACAAACTCTGGTATACTATCACAAGACAGAATCACTTATGATGTACTAACTATTACAGTTTTCTGCAAAGGAAAGCATTAAATCACAGCAGAATGGTACCGTCAGAACTTAAAATCCTTGGGGGGAAAATCACTTTACGTTTTCATTGTGATATCAATAACACTGCCCATATAGTATGAATTATTCTCTTCCGTGAAAATACTTAGGTAACTATCTGACCCAGAAAAAAGATAGTGACATTAGGGCTCATGGTATAGTGTCACGTATGTAGATAAATTGACTTCTTAAATAGAGACATGTTTCTAGTACTGCTAGTTGGTGGTGGTTGGGACACCAAGGCACTGAACTTCCTGAATGAGCTGTGCTGTGCAATTTTAAAAATGGCTTGGTCAGTTTGAGATCTTGGAGCAGAAATTTCAACATATATAGAACTGGAAGAAATCAAGGCATTTTAAATGCTTGTCCAAATAATTGAATTAACTAGAAACAGTTCAAACTGCATATGTGGTGAATGTTTCTTCTATATCTCTGACTTCATTCTTCATTTAGGCATTGCTATGATTTCACTTACCACCTGTGATCAAAGAATAGGGCAAAACTATTTAAATGCCTGTTCATTGCTTATACGCTAATCACAAAAAGCACAGGACAAGGGATTTCACATTAACGGTAATAAAATCTAATTATTTAATACTTTGGAGCCAGAGATCTGGTGTGTTTTGCATAGTAGTAAAGAATTGAGGTGTGAAGAGGGAATATATGTTGTACTGTGCTGCTTTGTTACCAGCAGTAAATTTACTGTAGATCTGTATTGAATTTGAGGGGATGTGGTTGTATGTGTGTGTATAAAACCTTTACATTTTGATCTTTAAACTCGTATAGAAATGGTTAATAGACAATGTTTTACTTTTATTCAATACCTTTCTCTTAGCTATTACCATATACAGCAGTCCAAATCTGTCGCCTTTGCAACAGAAGGGTAAATATAAAATAAATCCTATACATTTTAATGTGCATGTTTAGTTAATTGGGAGTATTGTATTTCTTCAGGAACACAGTTTTACACTGGAGAGATGACAAAATCCATTCTCTTCTTCTTCATTCCTACATCTCAAGTTTTGTGCAGCACACTTGAATGTGGTATTCCAGGAAGGAATAGCAAAATGTTGAGGTTACCAACAGATCATGTCAGCTTGGAAATGCCTCATCAGTTTTTTAATAAAATGGTGACACTATGTTGTCCATGTATTCTGTTTGTTACAGCTACTTGGAGTTGTGTGTCTGAGCTATTTTTATCAAATGAAGTTGTTAAACAGTGCAGAGCTGTTGGCTGTTTCTAGCTTGTAGGTTAGTTGCTCCTGCTGTCCTCAGTGGTTTATTCTGGATGTTAACTGCTTCTCAAACACGCCTTATTCTTTGAGAACTATTATGGACCCAGTAACCAAACTCTTTGTTGTACATACATCCCTACAGCAAAGGGTGATTATTTAAGCGACTAGTCAACTATCGGAGTGATTCGACTAGTCGCTTCCCCCCACCCTTGCTGCCTCCATCAGAAAGAGGCGGCGGGGGAAGCAGAATCCGGTGCTGCGGGGAGCCAACTTAAAAGCTGGTTCCCCTAGCATTGTCTCAGAGGGCAGACGGGGCAGGGGTGCAGGTGGGAACTGGTGGCGCTTCCACCTTTGAAATGTAGCAAGACCAGGGCTGAGGACTCAATCACATTTCAAGAGTAGGGACTGCGGGGTCAGCGGTGGACTGTTTTGAGTTCCCGGCTGGCCCTGCTCCTGGCAGTGCTTTGCTATTGAAATGTACAAGAGCACTTTCAAAAGCAGAGAGTGCGGGGCCAGCAAGGGACTGTTTGAGTCCCCTGCTGGCTGTGCTCCCACCTTTGAAATGTAGTGAGAGCCAGTAGGGCTCTTGCTACATTTCAAAGGTGGAGGCACCTTTATCAGCTCATCGAATAGTCGATGCAAATTACATCGACTGTTCGATTAGCTGATTAATCTAAATTTAACATCTTTAAATGAGGAGAAGAGCCTGGTGGGGAGGGATTCAGGAGCTGGGAGAATGTAACCAGAGCATGATTCAGCAAGACAAAAGAAATCCAGTTTGAAAATGAAAAGTCTTTGGACACTTTTATTGACCCCATTTCACAGTGCTGAGAAACAATTTAATGCTACCTTGGTTTGTTTTTAAGTTCACTCTTTTCATGTGCGATTGGATTGATAAGGACACTAGTTCTCCCTACAGACAAGAAGTTGTTTAGTTTTCAGTTAAATATTTTTTCCATTTTATCTGTGATGCCATATTAGTCCCTTTTGTCTACATATAGTATACACGGGTATGTCTACACAGCCGTTATTCTGAAATAACTTTACTAGCATCTACACAGCCAAACCGCTATTTCAAAATTAATTCAGAATAGCGGAGCGCTTATTTAGAATTTGGTAAACTTCATTCCACAAGGAATAACGCCAAATTCAAAATAGGTATTTTGAAATGAGTGCTGTGTTGAAATAGGGGGCCTCCAGACTTCCCAGGGTGCCCTGCTGGCCACTCCAATCTCAACCAAGAACGCTCCTTCCCTCCTCCTCCCGCTCCCTGGAGCCCTTAAAGGGGTTGACTCTGGCCACAGTGCCTGTGCCAGCTCCAAGCCTGCCAGCCCAGAGCCAGCAGTCACTGCCCCTGACCCAAGGGCCCCAAAACATGAGCCAGCAAACCACTGGCAGCCAGCCCTCCACTGCTCCCCAGGAGCGGTCTGCCAGCTCCCAGGAGCCTGCCAGGGCCCGGAGAAGGCAGGCACCTTCCTGGTCCCTGGTGGAGATTATGGACCTTATTCAGGTTTGGGGAGGGATGCCCCCAAAGTCCATGATCTCTGCACTAGATGGAAGGATGTGGCTCTCTCTGGCAAGATAGCTACCAGCCCAGGCCACGTGCGAACCCAGGAGCAGGTTTGCATGAAAATCAAGTTGGTCCGGCGAGACCCCCAACCATGAGCTTCCTCCTTCCAGGTTTCCCCCTCCCCTTTCCCACCCTCTCTTTTCTCCTTTCCCCAGTCTCACCAGAGTTTCATTCCCACCCCAGTTTTGTTAAATAAAGAGAGTTTGTGTTCATGAAAATACATGTATTTTATTTGACATCAGGAAGGGGGGTTAGGGAGGAGTAAGTGGAAGGACATGAGGGAGGAATGAGGTACAAGTCCCCAGTGGGGCAGATCAGGGAGGCTCTTAGTGCTCCACAGGGTGGAAGCTCTCCCGCAGGGCTTCCTGGATACTGACACCCCCCCCAATGGACCTCCCAGATGGCAGCCTGCAGAAAGTGCAGCCAGGCTCACAGCAACGTGTCCAAGAGAAGCACCAGAGTGCCCAGGGGCAGCTCTGGCTCCATGTTGCAGAGTGCTGTGGTGTCCTGAGTAAGGGTAACCAGAGCACGAAGAGACAAAATGCTTTGCTATCCCTCATTGAGGTAGGCAAGCAAGCAGGGAAAGCCGAGAACCAGGTGTCTCTTTAAGCACAGGCCTCAGATAGCCTCAGGCAGCAGCCACACAAAGTAACTCGTGACCTGATGCCCTGCTGGGCCTGGTTGCATCCGGCCTTAAATGCGATTCAGCATCCACTCAGTGTGGACACGCTATTTTGAAATAGCAAAAAGCTATTTCGAAATGCATTTTGTGTGTAGACGCGTTATTTCGGAATACCTTATTTTGAATTGACTATTACAAAATATTTCGAAATAACACTGTCATGTAGATATACCCTACCTTTTGTACTGTTTGCAGTTGTATAAAAGCCTCTGTTCTATTTTATAGGCCAACAGGTTGATTCCTCTTCACGTGTATGTGTCTATGCTCTTTCTGTATAGATTGCATCTGTTACAAGAACTGTATTGCTTCAGAAACACACATAGGTATTGTCAGTAGAATGATTGTACTTGATATTTGTTGCCTCATTATCTAGAACGCTTTCTACAGAATAGTCATATCAGGCTGGATGCTGTGTGTTTCTAAAAGTGGTAGCACCAAAACATTAGTCAGTTGCTTTGTGGAATGCTTTCAGGTAGTGCAGAAAGAGAGAAAGCATGTGATTCTTACTCAGCAGGGCGAACAAATCTCTGCTAGCAGTAAAACGAAGGGTGATTGTATGGGGCAGTCTTCAGGACCTGGAACTAGTGTTGCCACTAACAGCAGCTTACCTGAGTGTCCGGTCAAATATGCTTCACATTGACAGCTCCTTAGAAAGGAGGCTCAGATTAGGGCAGCCATCATGCTCACCAACTGCAACAGAAAATGTAAAATGTATATCCTTCATGGCAGATGTTCAGTCCTGGGGCACAGTCTAGACATAGCCTAATAAAAGGCTGTAACTGAACACTGGCAATCCTGAACAATTGTGTGAGTGAAATTCTTGATCAAGACACCAGCATAACTAGTCTCTTGTGAAGAAGGCTGAGATTGTCAAAGCTGCTTATTGGATATGGATGCCCAATTCCTATTTATATTAAAGGAATTGGACTCTAAATCCCTTAGGCACCTTGAAAAATCTCATTCTAAATATCCAAAGGAGTGGCTGTGAGCTCAGTTTAAGAATTTACCTCAATCCCGACATAGGCCAAGTTGCACTAATAATCAGTTATCTAGCTCCGTGTAGTAGTGACAAGACCCAATCAACCCCAAGCATGTCACCATTCTACTAACAAGGCAGATAAAACGAAAGGCTTGATTATCATGGTGCTAACTCAGGCTATGTCTAGACTACAGGCTTCGTTTGGAAGAAGCAAAAGTTCATCGAAAAAGCAATCTGACACGCTCTCGCTTGTAAGCTGTGATTGCTATGGACGGAGTGGCCACCAGAGCACTTTTCCTCTTTCCTCTTCTTCCAAAATGACTCCCTCTTCCCCATCCACACACGCCTTTTAAAGGCTTCTTCCTCATAGAATGAGGATTACCAATGCCGGAAAAAACCCTCTGTTCTTTCCATTTTCTTGCAGAACACCACGATTGCAGTGTGGATGTTCCTGAAGTTTTGTCGGAAAAATGGCTGTTTGTCTGACAAAACTCTGTAGACATATCCTCATTTATCAGAGGGGTAGCCGTGTTAGTCTGAATCTGCAAAAGCGACGAGGAGTCCTGTGGCACCTTATAGACTAACTGAAGTGTAGGAGCATAAGCTTTCGTGGGCAAAGACCCACTTCGTCAGATGCATGCTGAGCTATAGTTCATCTTTAAGTTTGACACAATCAACTCTGGATTAAACAAAGACTGTGAATGGCTTGCTAACTACAAAAGCAGCTTCTATTCTCTTGGAATTCACTCATTTGTTTCTTGCTTTTGAGGATGATTGGGAACTACGTTATTTTAGCCATTTACTTTCATTTTGGAAACACCCAACAACATGTTATTTTTATTGCGGTAGCACCTAGGATCCCCATTCAGGCCAGGACCCCCATTGTGCCAGGCACTGTACAAATGTGGAAAAAAGGACTGTCCCTGCCTCAAGAAATTCACAATCTCTGTGTTTTATTCATTAAATCTTCATGTCTTTCTCTTAAGGGTAGAGTCTTGCAAATCTGGATATCTACTTTATATCGGCAGGGGTTTTTTTCTGTGGGATATCCACAGCTCATTTTTGTGGCTGTGGATACAAATTTTGTATCCATGCAGGGCTCTACTTAAGGGGCCTCATCCTGAGGGATGCTGCATCTTTGCCAGTTTTGCTGAGGTCAGCTGCCATTGTGGGTGTGCAGTCCCTTGCAAAAGCGGGCCTTGAGCTTGTTCCCACCCTTCATTTTCAGTCATTTGTTTTTTCTGTTGCTTTTTTCTATTATGTTCCAATTATCTTCAATAGGAAAATTGCAAATAAAATGTTACATTTATGCCCCTTTGAGTTCCTGTACAAACCCTCATTGACAGGTATGTGTGTTCTGTGTCAATTGGAGCATGCTCAAATACCATAAAACTATGAAGGCAAAACCTGCAAGGCAGCATCTTAACACACAAAACACCAAATAGGCTCTTTAAAAGTGATCTGCACAAGTGTTTTTTTAACGAGTTTATGGCTATGTTAGCTTGTTTATTGCATATAAAAGACCATTTATTTTTCTCATTGCTGTTTTTTCTGCTTCTATGAGGGATGTACAGTCTGGTGATCCCTACTTTTGCTGGAAGACATGTTGGGAGTATCAATGTGTATCTACACAGCAGCAGCTGTAATTTCCACTTCAGGTAAATATATATAGATGTATTCTACTAGTGTCTCATAACAGTGTGGCCATGGCAGCGTGAGTCAGTCTAGTTAACAGAGTACAATCCCAACACAACCTGCTGTACCAGCCAGCTGTTGTGTAGACCTAGCCCCTGGCAAGTGTGCTGA